TGTGAAATGCTTATGATTATGAATGTATGTATCTTGCTATGAAATATTGCCTTTCCCCTTTGCCTTTTGCCCTAGAAAATGTGACCCAGGACTGTTGAAATGCTTGAGGGAGAACCACCACCTCCCTTTCTTATTTGATTATTTCACATCTGCATGGAACAATAGCCATTTATGGTTTCCTTTGTCTCGCCCTCGGAGTTGGTCCAGTGAGATGAGGAAGTCTATTTGGAATACGGACATTATGATTGATTTACAAAGGGCAGCGTTGATCCCCCCGAGGTCCGCTGCCCTGATCCTGTTTGTTTCCCTCACCAAAACCCCTCAAAGGACAATAAGCTGCATCGGCTGGAGACATTTTTCCTTTGTTTCGCTGAGCACATGGCCAGTTTCCATTGACCCATTCATGAACTCTCTTTGTGTTCTGTCGTCCCGCCTCCCCTCTTCTGATTCGCTGGCCGGCGGGCGACAGGAGCCCTCCCCCTTGGATCCAGCACGCCCCTGAAGCTCCCTGATTGGTCCAGGAGCCCAGGGGATGGGAGGCTCCTCCCCAGCTGCTCGCCCTGTTGCCCAATCACAGCGGGGAACGTCAGAGGAGCCGGGGCGGGAAGTTTGAACTCTGGGTTTTCAAAAATTGTATAAATATGCCTGCATCACTGTGCTCCTGCATGCTTGTAGTGGAACTATTCCTACAATGCATCCGATTGCAGCTGAATCGCTAATAAAACACCTCGGTCGCTGAAACTTCTTCCACTTTGGTGAGGATTTATTATTTTTAATATTTTTATCGCTGAAATTGGCTTCGCTGGCCTCACCAAGGTTCCAGGACTCTCTTTGGTGCGGTCCTCAGGGATCTCCTTGGCTGGGGAGACCCTCCTAAAAGCAGCTCGATATCATCTGGATGTTTTGATGTTTTCAGACTCGGGGGGGGGGGGGTGGTGCTCATCTCCATTTCTAAGCCAAAAAGTTGGCTTTGTCCGTAGACACCTCCAAGGTCATGTGGCCAGCATGACTGCATGGAGCACGGTTACCTTCATGCAGAAGCAGTACCTTTTGATCTACTCACATTTGCATGTTTTTGAACTGCTAGGTTGGCAGAAGCTGGAACTTACAGCAGGAACTCACTCCACTCCCCGATTCGAACTGCTGACCTTTTGGTCAGCAAGTTCAGCAGCTCAGTGCTTTCACCCACTGTGCCACTGGGGCTCCCACATATGTCCTAGTTTTCCCCAAACATTGTAATTTTCAGCTTGGTGACGGTGCTCACAATTCTGTGTTGCTCTCTAATTAAGATCCCCAGAATCCTCTGGGAAGAATATGGACTATGTCATGTAGATGTATCAAGGATATACTATTTCCTTATTCATCTATCTCTCTTTCTAATGTTTCATTTTTCTCCCAATATGGGACCCATAGTGTTGCTAGGTCAGCAGTAGTCCATTCCCTACAATTCTAAGGACAAAACTTGAAATCAGACTGATGTAGAAGGGTAGAGTCTTGTGATAAACATCACATTACAAGAGTCAGGCAGTGAAGCTAGGTGAGTCACCTAGGTGGGGAAACAGGTGAAACCCAATTAACCCAGGGGAAAATCCCATTTTGTTAGTTATTCGGATGCTAAAAAGCACCCAACAGCTTCAATTGTTTGTTACTGTGATCTGCCATTTAGGGAGAGCTATTTGGAATTCTTAGCCAGAGAACTCTAGCGCCTCGCCAAATTACAAACCCCATGATTGCATAGGTTGCGGAGGAATCCTAGTGCTGCAACTGTGTATGGTGGAAGTCCCCTGGGCTAAATGTATAATCAAAAGCAGCACACTAAACAAAACTTTCATTAAGACATTACATTATATTTTGAGCCTTTGTTGTTGTTCATTCGTTCAGTCGTCTCCGACTCTTCGTGACCTCATGGACCAGCCCACGCCAGAGCTCCCTGTCGGCCGTCACCACCCCTTTAGTCCCCCATTATGTCTAAATGTTATGTTGCAGACATTGTGGGCCCTTTCACGCTATACCACTATAGTTCTGTGGTTCCCATTTAACTGCCAGGCAACATCCTGGCAGTTAAAATTTACAATTAACATTTGTAGTTTTCAGAGAGATATTTTAATGTTCTGCCACGTGGCTCTAGTGCCTCATGAAACTACAAACCTTAGGATTCCATAGGATATTGCCTTAGAAATTAAAGTGGAATCGTAGTGTTATAATAATGAAGTGGAAAGAGCTCTTACAACATTAATTTGAAAACCAAATATAACCAGAATAGGTTTTTCTGATCACACTGAAAGCACTATGACAACAAGGAAGAAAGTACACTGTGCTCTAGTGAAACAATAGAAATTTTGTTCTTTTAGCCAAGGACCATGACAAACAGGATCAACTTGCAAATTGTTGAATCATTTGCACTTTGGTGCTTCCAATGCACTTGCAATGGACTTTGGACATAGTGCTATTACCTGGGCTAAAAATGTGGCTTGACATGTCTAGTAACAGCCTGGGGCACGTCTACACTGACCACTTACTGCAAAGTGAAGTAAATCAGTTTTGTGGCAACCAAACTATGCACGGAGCTGACGTGGGGTAACATTGGGGAAGGCCACCTTGACTGGGCCTTGACCTGCATTAACCAAAGTTGTGGGTTGCTATGAATCCTGCTACAGAATTCAGAGCAACCCATGACTTTGGGCCATGTAAACAATCTTTAGTTAGCATCCCCTTCCATTCTTTGCAGCTGCCATTTCTGGTAGTAACATGATTCCTGTCAGTTAGTTGACATTGACCTGGGTGGTTGGGGATGGGAGGAGTGATTCCTCCTCCTCTCCCTCACTGTAGTGTTGTCCCAGCCAACGTCACTGCAGGTGACGACTGTCCGGCAGGACCGATGTCATGCTCAGAGACTGTCTCAACAAGGAGAGCAAAGGGGGAGTATTACATTTGGCTTACCAGCAATGCCAAACTGTTTTGGCACTGTTGGACAACAAAGACTCCCACCTCTACAGCAGCCAGGGAAGTGGATGGTCATAAACCAGGCCTGCACCACCTGCGCCTCCCCAGATGTTTGGATCTGCAACTCCCAGAAACCCTAGTCAGCATGTCTGATAGCCAGGAATTCTAGGAGCTGAAGTCCAAATCACCTGGAAGGCCACAGGTTGGGCAGGCCTGCCGTAAACCATTTATGGCTTTCCATAAATATTGGTGTGTTCACTCCTCTCTCCCCATGGGATTTGCCAGCCTGTGTCATTGTTATACCTTTGGTGAAATATGAGATACTTATTGCTCCACATCACTTGAGCTATACTGAGATCATCTGGACGGTCACAGGTTCATGTAAACATAAGACAATGTCATACTGAAACCCTATTCAAACATATCACAGTGTGTAAAGAGAGAAGTAAAGAAGGAGTCTTGTGGTGCCTTGAAGACTCACCAGTTATTGCAGCATATGCTTTTGTGGACTACAGATCAATGTGTTGAAATAAATTGGCTAGTCTTAAAAGCATCGCAAGACCATGCTTTCTTTTTCTTTTGAAACAGATTAATGTGGCTACATTTTTACATTTTATAATGTAGCTTAAGTAAACATCTCCACATCCAATTTCTCTCCATTTGAGGAGGCTCTCCGTGTATTCTGTTTCTTCATTATCCAGAACTCTCTTTTTTCCAGAGTTCTGGATTATATGGAAAGCCTCCAAAATGTAAAAGAGAATCTCCTTTTGAAGTTAGTCACTCCCCAGGTGCTCCTTTCCCTAATTTCCTCTTTATACAGCTGTCTGGTCTACCTAGATCAGTACTGTTTACAAAGACTGGCAGAAGCTTTTCAGGGTTTCACAAGGAATAGTCTTTCTTAGCCATAATGGAAATGCGAGGGTTTGAATCTGGAAATTTCCAGGTGCAAAGTATGTACTCAGTCTCTGAGCTATAGCCCTTCTTCCCAAAGCTTACTATAATAAAATCTTAATACTAGCAATGAAATAGCATAATCCTCTGTATCAGAAGGCTAGACGCTAGCTGAGTGGGCTCAGGTGTAGAGGTAGGGATGCCATCATTCCCTTCATCCACCCAACATGTACTACCTGAGACTAAGGACCTTCTAGCCATATTTTTTGTTTTTATTTTGTTAACATGACAAAACACATACACACACACACATATATATCTCAAAAGTTCCCTGAGTCGCCATAGACTCTCTGTGGTGCTGACCTATCTATTCAGCACCATAGTGAGTCTATGGCAACTCAGGGAGCTTTTGTATTCTTATTTTGGCAAAAATCTCTTTCCTCACTATCTGGAGAAGGGATCTAAGAGCACAGCCCCGGGTCTGTCCTATGGTCATCTTGGCCCTCAGCATTAAGGCTAAAATACACTTTTTATTTATTTATTGAAAGCCATGCATAAGCTTAAGTCCGCTTTATGACAGCTGCATTATTCTCTCTTGGCTAAGTCTAAATCTGATGCAGTGGATCACACACCTCGTATCTCTCTAACAATTTGTCCAAACTACATTTTTAAATTAAACTTCTGCCTCCCTAGATGTTGTTGAACTATAGCATCCATCATTCCTGTTGACTGGAATGAAGGTTCCAGCTACAAATCCAGTGGTCTATAGATTTCCATTCTCTTTGTCACCAGGGACAATCCTGTTAGGAGTAACTTAGGGAAATTTCCAGATTCAAACCCTAGCATTTCCATTACGGCTAAGAAAGGGCCCTTCCACACAGCCATATAACTCAGAATATCAAGGCAGAATAATCCACAATATCTGTTTTGAACTGGGTTATCTGAGTCCACACTGCCATATATACCAGTTCAAAGCAGATGTGGGATTTTATTCAGCTGTGTGGAAGGGGCCTTAGAAGCATAATAACATAAGACAGGGCAGCTAATGTCATAAGGCATTATTGTCTGTCGGCTTGTTCTTACAACGTATTTGTAGTTGGACAGTGGTAAAAATGTACCAGTTACTTGAAATGTCTCATTGTTATAATGATTATATAATCACCTACCTGAGATGAAAAGTGGCATCAAGAAAAGGAAAAAGGAATGGGAGCCAATTGCCATTTCACTGTACATTAGGAAGTTTGCCCAGATGTAGCTGGAGGTGGCATTTTCTGCTCTGGGTTCCAGAACCACTACATGTTCCAAGTGGAGTGCCGACTGTAGGAGGATCTCCTTTGCTGCTCCTATAGAAGATAAACTGCTCCAACAGTTGAGAGCTGCTGCTACTGGATCCTGCCTCCACACATTGCTCAGGAAGGTGTGGCCACGTGTAATTTAGGTTCAGTCATAGGTTTAGCTAATTTCATTCTGGTATTTTCCAAAAAGTTGTGTAACTGACCTGGAGAGAGAAAACTGAAGCTACTTATATGGTGCAATCAACATCTTGGAGGACAGCAGAGTTTAAGAATCTGGCAGTCTCCAAATCCTAAAATTATTTCTAAGGACTTTGGGGAAAACCCCACAATTAATTTTTACTGCAACCAGCCAGTATTTTGGCCACTTGTACGAAAGTCGTCCATGACTCCATGAAGTGGTGTGGGAGTTTAGGCTCACACTACAATCATGCCTGCTGTATCCAACTCCCATTTCAGGGAAGCAGAATCCTGTTTAATAATTCTTCATAGGTGCTGCTTAATCAACAGACATATCGAGAGTTCTGCACTCGTGTCCAAGAAGCCACTAAATAAACAAACCAAACTGCCACCACGATCACAATCCACCTGAAATTGTCTTAGATTCATACAGACAGACAGAAAGGGGAAATGCTCCATGTGGATCCAAGGCTCTTGATTTGTCCACTAACAGTTCCCCTGAACCTCCCTAGAGTTCTCCCTTTTTTAATAGGTAAAGATCACCCCAAAATTAATGCTCTTAAAGAACACTAGTAAATGCAATTTAGCAATATGTTGCCATGCATCGCACTCTAGTACCTGAATGGAAAGCAGGTTTACAATGATTTTGAACTCGTATTTTGGCAAATTGAACGTAGAAAAAATAGCTTGATGAGGGTCCACAAATAAAATGGATTCAGGTAGCTGATTTTTTTTACAGCCACAGACTAAGGGGCCATCTATACTAGGGGATCTTAAATTTTTTTGTTCCATGGACCTCTTTGTTAGTCAGTTGAAAACCATGGACCCCTTCTCAGAATTATGTGACAGATAGTATTCTGACACTCAACGTCGTGTCCTAAATTAAAGTTTAGTTTGTACACAGCAGAACTGTGATCATGTGTGAACTAACATCAGGTCTAACAACTACTGAATTGTGATATCAAAAGCAGGAGGGCAGAAATAAAGTGACACTTAAAGATGAGAATCAAGTAGAAAGTTAAAATCAGCAGGCAATGAGCATTAGGTTTGTAGATTAGTTCTGTTTAGGTTGTACAGTCAGTCCTTGTGTCAGAAGCAACTTGAGAAACTGCATGTCGCTTCTGGTGTGAGAATTGGCCATCTGAAAGGACATTGCCCAGGGGATGCCCGGATATTTTACCATCCTGTGGGAGGCTTCTCTCATGCTGGAACTGACAGATGGGAGCTCACCCCATCTCATGGATTCAAATCACCAACTTCCAGGTCAGCAGTTCAGCCGGTGCAAGGTTTTAACCCATTGCGCCACCACAGCTCCTTGACTTACAAGTGACTCATAGTTAAAAAGGGGGAATGATACAACAGGAAGTGAGATAAATATATTCATAGGAAAGGAAATTCACTCCTGAAATAGTGATCATGATGAAAAGAGGTCTCTACTTAAGCTTTATCTCCAATCCTTGTTTTTACAAAAAGCCAAAATTTTCAAAATCCAATTTTCACTGGGACCAAAAGTGAGGTTAAATTTTCCAAACAGAGGCATAGACAGAAAAAAACTCCTCCTCATGCTAGCTGGTAGTGGTTTTTGCTTCATTCCTTCTGTATTCCTATTTTTACTTTTTACTTTCTTTCGTTGTTTTATAAGTCTGTATATCTGATATGTTTGAATAAAAACTATTTTAAAAATAACTACCGTAATTTCAAAGTTTGGATGAGAAGTGACTTTAAAAAAAAGATATGCCACAAGTTCAACGTGAAATTAAAACCACTGCAATGTATTGCCAACATTCCTAAGTGAGGGAACAAGCCCTATCAGGAGTGGCTTAAAGAGCTGGGCATGTTTAGCCTTCAGAAGAGACATGATGACCATGTATAAATATGTGAGGGAGGAGGGAGTAAGCTTGTTTTCTGCTGCCCTGGAAACTAAGATGTGGAACAATGGCGTCAAACTACAGAAAAGGAGATTCCACCTGAACATTAGAATGAACTTCCTAACTGTGAGAGCTGTCCAGCAGTGGTGGAGGCTCTTTCTTTTGAGGCTTTTAAACAGAGGCTGGGTGGCCATTTGTTGGGCATGCTTTGAATGTGATTTTCCTGCTTCTTAGCAGGGGGTTGGACTGGATGGCCCACGAGGTCTATTCCAACTTTATGATTCTATGAAATGCTAGATGTAAGTTAAGAGGTCAGAGACAAAGTGATTTTTCTTTCAATTCAAGCTTACCGACTGTCTGAAAATTTTCCATGGGGTAAGAATCCCTTATATTGAGTATTTAATGCAGTTTCAAACCAGTATTGGAAGTCAGAGGGTTACATAGGAAATCCTGTAACCAGTTTGAGGCCTGTTGGTGGTGATGTCAGGAACCACATAGCACCCAGGCACATTAAGGAAGTTATTTCACGCACTTTTGTGGGAGCTTGAATATCTCAATCTAGTTTCGAATACATATTATGCCGAACTGCATTAAAATGGTTAATGCAGATGGGGGACAAAAAGATCAGCCGCTGAAAGCCCCCTAGAGTCTAAAACCCCTAGGGTCCTTCCACACACCCCTATATCCCAGAATATCAATGTAGGAAATCCCACATAATCCAGTTCAAAGCAGATATTGTGGGATTTTCTGCCTTGATATTCTGGGATATAAGGCTGTGTGGAAGAGCTCCCAAACTATAATGGAAGAAAATCCTATAATATCTGCTTTCAATTGGGTTATCTGAGTCCACACTCAGAAAATGTAGGTATCTCTGCTTTGATATTCTGGGTTTTATGGCTGTGTGGAAGGGTCCTGAGAAGACATGGCTATATATTCCAGATCAAAGCAGAAAATGTGGGATTTTATTCAGCTGTATGGAAGGGGGCTGGGTGCTCTTCCACACAGCCCTATATCTCAGGAACATCAAGGCAGAAAATCCCACATCTGAGTGTGGACTCAGATAACCCAGTTCAAAGCAGGGCCATATCTGGGATATAGGGCTGTGTGGAAGGGCCCTTCAATACATTCCCTAATGTTTAGGTGGAATATCTTTTTCTGCTTTTTGAATCCATTGCTCTGTGTCCTAGTTTCCAGAGCATCCAGATAAAAAGACTTGCCCTCTTCCGCAATGTCACATCCTTGCAAAGATTTAATCCTCTTAGGGCCCTTCCACACAGCCCAGAATATAAATGCAGCATCGTTTGTAATCCTGCAGTTTGGAGCTTGATCAGAAGAGCCACCAGGCTGAGAATGCAATACTTCTCCAAAAACTGACAATATGGAGACAGTGTGCAGGTACAACTGCACCAGGAGCTCCAATTTTGTCTGCTTTGCATTTAATGTTTGTTATAGTCCTAAGTTTCAGGGACTCTGCAGATAGGTGGCTTCTTTTGGCTGCAATCATAGGGCAAGCCACCTGTCAATTATAGTTAGGTTCCCTGGTCCCGCCCCTTTTTGAGTTTTGGAGGGAATAGGAGCCTTTTTGAGTCAGTTCTCACAGAGAAGCCTTTCGCACAGGACATAATACCAAGAGCTCCTGTAGAAAGCTTCGTCTTCTACGGCTTGGCCGGGTAGATATACAGCCTATGGCTTGGCCGGGGAGATATACAGCCTACAGCTTGGCCAGGGTTATATAGCCCTACAGCTTGGTCGGGGAGAAAAGGTCCACAGCTTGGCTGAGGATTTTGCAGCCTTACAGCTCCTTTGCTGAGGGACTTCAGCTGGCCATCACTGAAACCTGAACTCCTTCTTTTCCCCTGGAAGTCTACAAAGCTCTGCTTGGTAAGGGTCGCTCGCGGAAGCCAGACGCAGTTGGTACCGGGTGCAGGGGCTCCACGCCAACAGAGGCAAGTACAGACTGCCCAGATTAGAAGTTAAGGATTTCCCCATTAGTTAGTATACAGTTATGAAGATAGTGCCTGTTCCCAGTGAACAAGATTGCAAGAGCCAATAGACGGTTAAGAAAGCTTTAAAGTACCTGTTTGTTTTCATCAATAAAGAACTTTGTTGGACTTACTTTAAGCCTCTACAGAACTTTGCTTTGGGGAGGTCCAAGGGCCTTTAATCTGAGGCAGCCCCGGCGGGCACACAGAATTTATGTCCTGTCTACAGTCATATGCACAGGCCCAGCGTGCGACAGCACAGACAGCATGGCATAAAAGTTTGAAGACTGGACTACATTATAGGGCCCTTCCACACAGCCCTATATCCCAGAATATCAAGGCAGAAAATCCCACAATATCTGCATTGAACTGGAATATATGGCAGAGTGGACTCAGTTAACCCAGTTCAAAGCAGATGTGGGATTTTCTGCCTTGATATTCTGGGATATAGAGCTGTGTGGAAGGGCCCTGAGTCCACACTCAGATAATGTGGGATTTTCTGCTTTGATATTCTGGCATATAGGGCTGTGTGGAAGGGCCCTGAGAAATGAAAACCCAACAGACAACTTTGGCCCCTTCCACATAGCTGAATAAAATTCCACATTTTCTGCTTTGAACTGGAATATATGCCAGTGTGGACTCAGATGACCCAGTTCAAAGCAGATATTGTGAGATTTTCTGCCTTGATATTTTGGGTTATATGGCTGTATGGAAGGGCCCTTTTTGCAAGTCACACACTAAGGGCTCTTCCACACAGCCCTATATAGCACAATATCAAGGCAGAATATCCCGAGCTTTGAGGATTACCTGGGAAGGAATCCCACTGGAGCATTGAAGCACCCGCAAATACCTGGGAGTTACCCTGGACCGTGCTCTTACCTCAAGAAGCACTGCCTGAATATCAAGCAAAAAGTGGGCGCTAGAAACAATATCATACGAAAGCTGACTGGCACAACCTGGGGATCACAACCTGATACAGTGAAGAAATCGGCCCTTGCGCTCTACTACTCTGCTGCTGAGTATGCATGCCCAGTGTGGAACACATCTCATCACGCTAAAACAGTGGATGTGGCTCTTAATGAGACATGCCACATTATCACGGGGTGTCTGCACCCTACACCACTGGAGAAATTACACTTTTTTGCCAGTATTGCACCACCTGACATCCGTCAAGAAGTAGCAACCAATAGTGAAAGGACCAAGGCAGTGACATCTCTGGCCCACCCCCTATTTAGAATCATAGAATCAAAGAGTTGGAAGAGAACTCGTAGGCCATCCAGTCCAACCCCCTGCCAAGAAGCAGGAATATTGCATTCAAATCACCCCTGACAGATGGCCATCCAGCCTCTGTTTAAAAGCTTCCAAAGAAGGAGCCTCCACCACACTCCGGGGCAGAGAGTTCCACTGCTGAACGGTTCTCACAGTCAGGAAGTTCTTCCTCATGTTCAGATGGAATCTCCTCTCTTGTAGTTTGAAGCCATTATTTCGCGTCCTTGTCTCCAGGGAAGAAGAAAACAAGCTTGCTCCCCACTCCCTGTGGCTTCCTCTCACATATTTATACATGGCTATCATATCTCCTCTCAGCCTTCTCTTCTTCAGGCTAAACATGCCCAGCTCCTCACAGGGCTTGTTCTCCAGACCCTTGATGATTTTAGTCGCCCTCCTCTGGACTCATTCCAGCTTGTCAATATCTCTCTTTTGATTTGTGGTGCCCAGAATTGGACACAATATTCCAGGTGTGGTCTAACCAAAGCAAAATAGAGGGGTAGCATTACTTCCCTAGATCTAGACACTATGCTCCTATTGATGCAGGCCAAAATCCCATTGGCCTTTTTTTGCCGCCACATCACATTGTTGGCTCATGTTTAACTTGTTATCCACAAGGACTCAAAGATCTTTTTCACATGTACTGCTCTCAAGCGAGGCGTCCCCCATTTTGTATCTTTGCATTTCGTTTTTCCTGCCAAAGTGGAGTATCTTGCATTTGTCACTGTTGAACTTCATTTTGTTAGTTTTGGCCCATCTCTCTAATCTGTCAAGATCGTTTTGAATCCTGCTCCTGTCCTCTGGAGTGTTGGCTATCCCTCCCAATTTGGTGTCATCTGCAAACTTGATGATCCTGCCTTCTAGCCCTTCATCTAAGTCATTATTTGGGTATCAGCCAGCACGCCGACGACTTAAATCAAGAAATAGTTTTCTAAGATCTACAGCGACACTTGCTGGAACACCTCAGAAAGTGAGAGTTCAAAAGTGGCAGGTTCAAACCCAGAACCTCGATCAATGGCTGATACCAAATGAGAGACTCCCTCCTGGGCACACAGAAAACTGGGCAACTTGGAAGCATTGAACAGACTGTGCTCTGGCACCACGAGATGCAGAGCCAACCTTAAGAAATGGGGCTACAAAGTGGAATCCACGACATGCAAGTGTGGAGAAGAGCAAACCACTGACCACCTGCTGCAATGCAACCTGAGCCCTGCCACATGCACAACGGAGGACCTTCTTATAGCAACACCAGAGGCACTCCAAGTGGCCAGCTACTGGTCAAAGGACATTTACTAGAATACCAAGTCTGCAAACTTGGTGTTTTGTTTGTTTTTAATGCAATACAATTGTTTTTTTTCACTCTTGACACGGTAAATACTGTCTCCACGTTTTCTCCATTTGCCAGTTATCAATCATTCTTGTTGCCACAATCTTGTTTTTTTTTATGTTTAGCTGAAACCCAGCTTTTGCGCTTTCTTCTTTCACCTTGATTAGAAGGCTCCTCAGCTCCTCCTTGCTTTCAGCCATCAAAGTGGTATCATCTGCATATCTAGGTTGTTAATGTTTCTTCCAGCAATTTTCACCCCAGCCTTGCATTCATCAAGCCCCGCACATCGCATGATGTGTTCTGCATACAAGTTGAATAGGTTGGGTGAGAGTATACAACCTGCCGCATGACTTTCCCAATCTTGAACCAGTCTGTTGTTCCATGGTCAGTTCTTACTGTTGCTACTTGATCTTGGAGCAGCAATGAAATCATAAAAAAACAAACAAAGCAGACATGACTTCTATTATCACCAACTGGGGGCCCTTCCACACAGCCTATATCCCAGAATATGAAGGCAGGAAATCCCACATAATCTGCGTGTGAACTCAGATAACCCAGTTCAAAGCAGATATTGTGGGATTTCCTGCCTTGGTATTCTGGGATATAGGGCTGTGTGGAAGGGCCCTCAGTCCTCACTGCTATATATTTGAACGGGGTTATCTGAATCCACACTTAGGTAATGTGGGATTTTCTGCCTTGATATTCTGGGATATAGGGCTATGTGGAAGAGCCCTTAGTGTGGACTCAGATAACCCAATCCAAAGCAAATATTCTGGCATATAGGGCTGTGTGGAAGGGCCCTTAGATAACCCAGTTGAAAGCAGATATTGTGGGATTTCCTGCCTAGATATTTTGGGATATAGGGCTGTGTGGAAGGGCTCTCAGTCTTCACTGCTATATATTTGAACTGGGTTATTTGAGTCCACACTCAGGTAATGTGGGATTTCCTGCCTTGATATTCTGGAATATAGGGCTCTGTGAAAGGGCCCTTAAATAACCCAGTTCAAAGCAGATATTGTGGGATTTCCTGCCTTGGTATTCTGGGATATAGGGCTGTGTGGAAGGGCCCCAACACACAATGCCTTCAAAACCCGTTGTGAGAGAATCTGTTCCTTTTGAGCGGCCGGAAGAGGAAGTCGCCTGCGCGGCTCCGTCGAATGGCTGCTCTCCGTCTGCGCCTGCGCACAGCAGGCCGGGGTGAAATCCTCAAGGCGCCTGCGCAGAGCGGGCAAGATGAAGGTGGCGGTTGCAGGCTGTTGTCATGGCGCGCTGGACAAACTCTTCGAGACGCTGCACTTCCTGGAGGAGCGCCGCGGCCAGGCCCTGCCCGACCTGCTCCTCTGTGCCGGGGACTTCCAGGCCGTGCGCGACGCCGGGGACCTGCTCTGCATGGCCGTGCCCGCCAAGTACCGCGAGATGGGCGGCTTCGCCCGGTGAGAGCGCCTCGCCTCGAGCAGCAGGGACTCCTGGGCATGGGCAGAGGCCCGGCTCAGAAGCTGTCATTAATGTGCCTTTCCTGTGTCTGTAGCTGGCTAGAGTGCAAGGGGCAAGCCTCCTTGGGAACTTTTTTTGGACGGAAAACCTAATATAATGATGTTTTATGTGTTGGCTTTCATGGCCTGAATCTATGGCAGGCATCCTCAGAGGTTGTGAGGCCTGTTGGAAACTAGACAAGTGAGCTGTATATATCTGTGAAACGTCCAGGGTGGGAGAAAGAACTCTTGTCTGTTGGAAGTAGATGTGAATTTTTCAGTTGGCCGCCTTGATTAGCATTTAATGGCCTAGCACAGTGTTTCTCAACCTGGGGGTCGTGAGGGGGTGTCAGAGGGGTCCCCAAAGACCATCAGAAAACACAGTATATTCTGTTGATCATGGGGGTTCTGTGTGGGAAGTTTGGCCAAATTGTATCATTGGTGGGCTTCAGAATGCTCTTTGATTGCTGGTGAACTATAAATCCCAGCAACTATAACTCCCAATGTCAAGGTCTATTTTCCCCAAACTCCACCAGTGTTCACATTTGGGCATATCGAGTATTCGTGCCAAGTTTGGTCCAGATCTGTCACTGTTTGAGTCCACAGTGCGCGCTGGATGTAGGTGAACTACAGTTCCCAAACTCAAGGTCAATGCTCACCAAACCCTTCCAGTATTTTCTGTTGGTCATGAGAGTTATGTGTGCCAAATCTGGTTCAATTGCATCATTGGTGGAGTTCGGAATCATCTTTCAATTTAAATGAACCATAAATCCCAGCAACTATAACTCCCAAATGACAAAATCAATCTCCCCCCCCCCTCCCCAACCTCACCAGTATTCAAATTTGGGCATATCAGGTATTTGTGCCAAATTTGGTCCAGTGAATGAAAATACATCCTACGTATCAGATATTTCATTATGATTCATGACATTAGCAAATTTACAGTTATGAAGTTGCAACAAAAATAATGTTGTGGTTGGGGGGCGGGGGTCACCACAACATGAGGAACAGCATTAAGGGGTCGAGGCACTAGGAAGGTTGAGAACCACTGGCCTAGCAGTTTCAAGGTCAGGTTTCGTATTGCCTGGGGGAATCCTTTGTTGAGAGGTGATTAGCTGTCCCTGATTGTTTCTTGTCTGGAGTTCCCCTGTTTTTGAGTGTTGTTCTTTATTTACTGTTATGATTTAATAATAATAATAATAAATAAAACTTTATTTATACCCTGCTACCATCTCCCCAAGGGACTCAGTGTGGCTTACATGAGGCCAAGCTCACAGTACATCAATAACAAGAGCAATAACAAAAACAGTCAATACAATACACTTAATATAAATCACATAAACAAAAAACAATAAACGGCAACACGCAAGCATTTAAATACCAATGGCCAGGCCAAATGTAATAATTTAAAATTTAAAAAATAACGCTGGGCATGAACAAGGTAGGATATAACTGGTATAGGGTTTTCAAAAAAGAGATGAGGGAACGCAGTCAGTCCTAAATTAGTGGTAAAGTGCATTTTGAGGTCATATTGCTGAGAGTTTTCCTTATTCTGGGAAGGCACACTGGAACAACCACGTTTTCAGGCTCCTAAAGACTGCCAGAGTTGGGGCATGTCTGATGTCCTTGGGAAGTGAGTTCCAGAGTCGGGGAGCCACCACCGAGAAGGCCCTCTCCCTCATCCCCACCAATCGCGCCTGTGAAGGAGGTGGGAGCGCGATTAGGGCCAGATGATGATTTAGATGTTTGTTTGTTTTTTGAAATATTGATAGCCAGATATTGTTTATTTTCATGGTTTCTCCCTTTCTGTTGAAATTGCCCACATGCTTGTGGATTTCAGTGGCTTCTCTGTGTAGCCTGACATGGTGGCTGTTAGAGTGGTCCAGCATTTCCGTGTTCTCAAATAATATGCTGTGTTCAGGTTGGTTCATCAGGTTCTCTGCTATGGCTGACTACTCATGTTGAATCAGTCTGCAGTGCCTTTCATATTCCTTGATTCATGTCTGGGCAATGCTGCTGCTTTTGGTGGTCCCTATGTAGACTTGTCCACAGTTGCATGGTATACAGTAGACCAGGCATCCTCAAACTGCGGCCCTCCAGCTATTTGGGCCTTCAACTCCCAGAATTCCTGACTATTGAACAAGATTGTTAGGGTTTCTGGGAGTTGGAAGCCGAAACAGCTGGAGAGCTACAGTTTGAGGATGCCTGTGGTAGACTCCTGCAGAGAGGATCCCTCTTGTCCTTTGCTGAATGCAACATTTGTAGGATTTCTTTGGTGGGTCTGTAGATAGATGTAGATTGTGTTTCTTCATCAGCTTCCCTATGTAGTCAGTGGTTCCCTTGATGTCTGGTAAGAACACTTTTCCACTGGAGAGATCGTTGTCTTTACTCTCGTGGCTTGTTCTTGATCTTGCACCTCTTCTGATGTCTGTGGGGGAGTCTCCATTGGCCTGTAGAGCCCTTTGTAGAGATCCTCTCTCCTCTGCAGGAGTCTACCATGGACAGAGTCGGCGCTAACCTAATCCCTCTGGGGAGGGAGTTGCAGTTGCAACACTCACTCTTGCCTCCAACAGAAAAGAGTTCTTCCTCCCACCCTGGACATTCCACAGATCCATAAACCCTACTTGCCTAGTTTCCAACAGACCTCACAACCTCTGAGGATGCCTGCCATAGATGTGGGCAAAACACCAGTAGGGAATGCTTCTGAAACATGGCCATTCAGCCTGGAAAACTCACAGCAACCCAGTGATTCCAGCCATGAAAGCCTTCGACAACACATTGAACAATGTTATGTGTGTGTGTGTGTTTATAATATAAATCAATACTAGTGTATGCATTTCCTTTGTGGCTGTTTCTGCCTTTCCCTCATATACCATCTCCCTCTCTCTTTTCTTTCTTTCACCCCTTGCTTTCCCTCATACATCTTTCCTCTTCTTTCTTTCCTTCCTTCCTCTTTCCTTTTTCTTCTTTTCTCTACTCATTTCTTCCTTTTTTCTCTCTTTTTTAACAAATAATCTTTATTAGGGTTAAAATACAAAATACATTTTTCTTCAGCAATAATAATAAAAAGAGATACATGAAATAGAAAAAGAAATAAATGAAATAGAAATAGCAGACGGGAAAAGGGTATGAAAAAATCAGTAACTATAGATATTTCCTCCTTTTTTCTCCTTCACTCCTTTTTCTTTCCCGTTCCCTCTCTTCTCGCTCCTTTTCTTTCCCATCTTTTTCTCTTTTATTTCTTTGTGTCCTTCTTTCCCCTCATACACATGTTATCTAGCAGCGGCCACTTCACTCCCTTCCCCAGTGACATCCTAGATGGACACTTTACTTGGCAACAGCCAGCTGTCATGATTTTACTTTTCCTTTTGTTCCTCTGTTTAAATCTCAGCTTTTCACCCTGTAACAACAATATGCAAATTTATTTGAATTGGGTTTATTAGTAGTGGCCCTTTGGTTTCCACTGACCGAAAAACATGAATGAGTGCAAACATGTAGACTAAATTCTTCGTTGTTGTCTGTGTTATCTTAGGTATTACTCAGGAGAGAAGAAGGTCCCTGTCCTGACCATCTTTATTGGGGGAAACCATGAAGCCTCCAACCATTTGCAAGAGCTACCATACGGTGGATGGGTGGCACCCAACATCTACTACCTTGGTATTGAATTTTACTTGCAGTCTTAATCATTTAGAAAGATTGGAGTTAAGAGACCTGTGGAATAAGACGAAGCAGAATTACTGGTTGTGAAAAGAGACAAAAGAGCATTTTGTATTACTGCTTGCAGTTGTGTTGTACCTTTCCACAAAGGTGCTATAACTGTCGTCCCATGTTACCCCAATATTCTTGTGAGGTGGGTTGGGGTGATTAAGTCAATGGCCCAATGGGTTTAATGGCCGATGGGTGATTTGTGATAAGTGTATGCATTCGCTTTCATATATAGCATTGGATTGCATGTGTTCAGTGTACTTTTCTTCTCCTTCAGGTTATGCTGGTGTAGTCAAGTATCGTGGGGTAAGGATTGGTGGACTCTCTGGCATCTTTAAATCTCATGATTACAGAAAAGGTATATTCAGGTGTAATTTTGCATGCTCAAATTTAAAACAAACACGACGTTGTAATCTCTCTCTTTTTTTTCTTTTTTTTTGCTATCAATCTCCTTGCATGCACGTGGCTTGTCTTTGTTGTTTGTTGTTGTAAATATTTTCATGTAAACTTACCTTGTTATTGATTTATATGTTCATGTACCTTGCTGTATTTTGCACCATTGCTTCTGTGAGCTTACCCCCCCCCCCCCAGTTCCTTCGGGGAGATGGTGGCGGGATACAAATAAAGTTTTATTTATTATTATTTCTGAGGTCTGGTTCAGATGTAAAGGGAAGCCATGGTTAACATTTCTCCCTCCTTGTAACAAGCATTTTGTTAGTGTTGTTCATGACCCACATAAAGTAGAGTACAATAATATTTATTGTAATAATATTTAAATAAATATAATAAATATTTATTATTGTAATAATATTTAAATAAATATAATAAATAAATAAATATATAATTTATATAATAATATTTATTGTACAATAAAGTACAATAATATTTTTACTATGTGATGCCCAAAGGGGATACTCATGGTAGGCATAAAAGAAGTTTGTATTCAGGCCTTAAGGCTCAACTGTTTTGTGATATGTTAACTTACAACATTAAGCACCAGAGTCCCAACATAGATGTAAATGCATCAATGATAGTCTGGTGTCACTAGCCAACCCCAATTTTCCCTTCATATGTTACTGAGACTGTACATGAATTGAAGGGTTTTGGGTAAAAGGTAAAGGTTTCCCCCTAACATTAAGTTGTGTACGATGCTGGGGGGTGGTGCTCATTTCTATTTCAAAGCCAAAGAGCCAGCGTTGTCCATAGACACTGCCAAGGTCATGTGACCAGCATGACTGCATGGAGTGCCATTGCCTTCCAGCAGAAGTGGTACCTATTGATCTATTCCCATTTGCATGTTTCTGAACTGCTAGGTTGGCAGAAGCTGGGCCTAATAGCAGGATATCACCCTGCTCCCTGAGTTCAGACCACCAACCTTTCAGCCAGCAAGTTCAGCAGCTCAGTGGTTTAACCTGCTGCACCACTGGGGTTTTTGGCTAGCATAGCCTTTATTCTTATAACTGGTTTTGTTTAGTTAAGTGCTTCTTGACTTGTTTCAGGTCACTTTGAATGCCCACCATACACCCAGCAGACACTAAGAAGTGTCTACCATGTGAGAAACATTGAAGTCTTTAAGCTAAAACAGGTCAGTATATATATCAGCCTGTTTGTTAAGAAGCAGTGTTCCTGCATCTACTTATTTACTTACCTAGGTGATCTATCATTGTCCAAGTAGGATTGTCTTCCAAGATCGGTGTACTGGCGGTGGGTCCGTAGGTGACTGTGTAGCCCTATTCTTGCTCTGCATGTTCTGCAGTGAGGGCATTGGTTTCCAGGTGGAAGGCGGTCCTGGTCGGGGTTGGGTTAACATGATTTTCTCTTGGCATGTCTCTCTCTTTTGCCCTCCTTTCGTACATCTTCAAAAATTCTACAGCACAGCTCACCTCCAGCTGGAGCACTCAAAGGCCAGGGCTTCCCAGTTCTCAGTGTCTATGCCAGTTTTTAAGGTTGGCTTTGGGCCCATCTTTAAATCTCTTTTCCTGCCACCAACATTCCATTTTCCGTTCTTGAGTTTGGAGTAGAACAACTGCTTTGGGAGACGGTGGTCAGGCATCCGGACAACGTAGCCGGTCCAGCGGAGTTGGTGGAAGAGGACCATGGCTTCGATGCTGGTGGTCTTTACTTCTTCTAGCATGCTGACATTTGTCCACTTGTCTTCCCAGGAGATTTGCAGGATTTTTCGGAGGCAACACTGATGGAATCATTTTAGGAGTTGCATGTGACGTCTGTAGATAGTTCATGTCTAGCAGGCATATAGCAGGGTTGGGAGGACAATCTATATAAATAAAAATGTAATGTTCGTTTGTGATATTCACAGAACTCAAAAACTACTGGGGGAATTGACACCAAATTTGGACACAAGACACCTAACAGTCCAATTTATGTCCTCCATTCAAAAAACCCCCCAAAGAAATAGCAGAAACCCCAAAAATCCACACAAGGGAAGAGCGGCCATTACAGCATTGAGAGCCAAGTGCGTGCGCACGCACGGCCATACAAACAGAACTGGCACAGCAAGCGGCACCGAGTTCCCTCCCTCACCGCAGCAGGGAGCTTCCTCCCTGATGGCAGCATGACCCCTTCCTCTTCACCTTCCTCCTTGCCTGCTGTGGCGACGGAGGAAAGGGAGAAAGGAAGAAGGGAGGAAAGAAAGAAGGAAGCATGGGAAAGAGGGGAGAGCATGCCTTGCACAGCCTGGGGGATAGAGAGAGAGAGAGGCAACCTCCTCTCTTCCCTCCTCTTGGCTCTTCCCATTGCCTTTGCAAAGGTGGGCACTTCCAAGGCTTCCAGCCCCCACCAAGCTTCTGAGGCAGGAGAGAGTCTGAAGGGGGACCCACATAGAGGAGGAGGAGGCAGAAGCACAGGCAGCAGTAGCAGCGGACCCCAGGCTCAGAGCCCGTCACAGCCATTTCCGTTGCAAATTGGTGGGGATGGTGAAGCCAAGCAAAGCAGGGGGGAGCCAAGAGCCGGGGGTGGGGGGACAGATCCCGACCAATGAGGGGGGTCTGCCCCTGTCAGGGAGGGAGGACAGTTGGGAAGGTAGCGTAGGATATCTATAGTCCCACAATTTGTTCACGAAACAAAACACACAATAGCATATCCACACTGTGTGTGTGTGTAGGTTAAAGCTAAAGGTTTCCCCCTGACATTAAATCCAGTCATGTCCAACTCTGGGACTCTGGTGCTCATCTCCATTTTTTTAGCTGAAGAGCCGGCGTTGTCCGTAGACACTTCCAAAGTCATGTGGCCACTGGCATGACTGCATGGAGCGCCCTTACCTTCCTGCCAGAGTGGTACCTATTGCTCTACTCACATTTGCATGTTTTTGAACTGCTATATGAATTGAAAATCATTCTATCTATCTATCTTTTACAACTTGGCAACATACACATGTTGGCAGAGCAACAGTGAGTGCATATGGGTGTGTGGAGTTGTGAAAATATAGTGGAATTAATGCACATGCAAGATCATCCCCACAATAACCCCTCAAGACATGCACTCCAGCAGAGCCACTTATTTCCTGCATGACTGTGTGTATTTGGGGGGAGAGTTAAGGAAATATAGTAAAATTAACACCCATGTACGTATTCTCCACAATTTCTTTTCAACACATACATTAGATGTCTCGCAGGCGTATAGCAGGGTTGGGATGACAATAGCTTTATAAACAAGCACCTTGGTATCCCTATGGATGTCCTGGTCCTCAAACACTCTCTGCTTCATTTGGAAGAATGCTGCACTCGCAGAGCTCAGGCAGTATTGTATTTCAGTGTCAATGTTGACTTTTGTGGAGAGGTGGCTGCCAAGGTAGCAGAAATAGTCAACATTTTCTAATGTTACACCATTAAGCTGTATTTCCTGCATCTAAGGTGAATGGGGTTGCAAGGGAAGGTCTCTTCAGTGTTAAGTCTATTCTGTGGGAGCCATAAAATGTGGTTCACCTGTCCTAAACTGTCTTGTAGGGAGGGGAGAAAAACATGTGTGAGTCTGAAAGGAGACTAGGCTGGGGGGTGGGGGAGATAACTTTAGCATTTCCATGTGTTTTTGTCATTGTGAGCTCTATCTAACTTGGACCACAAACGATTGTGGCAGCTGTAATCTAATAGCACCTGGAGGGACATAGATTCTCCACCTCTGGGTCTCATTTGTATTGCTCTCCTTTCATTCTTAACAGCTAAAACAACCTATGGATGTATTTATGTCCCATGACTGGCCAAGAAGCATCTATCATTATGGAAACAAGAAGTTACTCCTTAAAAAGAAATCCTTCTTCCAGCAAGAAGTGGAGAGCAACACTTTGGGGAGCCCTGCTGCCTCAGAGCTTCTGGAGCACTTGAAACCCGCCTACTGGTTCTCAGCACATTTACATGTGAAATTTGCAGCATGGATGCAACACAAGGTAAATAAAACATAGTTATCCATCTTTGCAGTTGTTGAAATGGGTTAGTGTGTGTGCGCACTGGTGGACAGCTGTTTTTTTTAAAAATGAAGATGGGAGTATAAGAGAAATTATTGTGCGTTAATATTTTGAAATAATGCCTTGCAGCAGACAGGTATCACCGTAGCTTATAATTGTCAAAATATAAGTTTCCCAAGGGATCCAAGATTGGAGCCTTAGTTCCTTTCCAAAATAAGAGGACACTTTCAATTCATGAAAGGACATGTTATCAGGCAAAGGTTCCCATTGATGGAAGGAGGGAGATTTGTCAGTAGCTCATCCTAACATTGCTTTGGAAATGTAAATACAGAGAAACAATTTTCATGGAACTGAAAGAGTTACAGGGAAAGGACAAAGTTGCCTGTCTCACCACATACAGCAAGAACACTCCTTCGTGGCGCACATGTCACTGAATACTCTGGTTAGCACAAGACAACTCACGATCCAAGCCAGTATTATTATTTTTTATTATTAAACTTTATTTGTACCCCGCTAGCATCTCCCGAAGGACTCGATGCGGCTTACAAAGGCCAAGACCTCAACACAACAACAACATAACAAATACAACTCAAAGCAAATCAAAAACAAAGCAATAACAACAACACATTCCACCACAACACAGTAAAAACTAGGGCCTGTTGAGTTGGAAACTGATATCTTTTTGTTATTGGCAACAGCATCTCCCCCTATGTACCATCGCGGAGATTAAGATCCTCTGGGGAGGTTCTGCTTTCCGTCCCGCCATTGTCACAGGCGCGATTGGTGGGGACGAGAGACAGGGCCTTCTCGGTGATTGCTCCCTGGCTATGGAACTCCCTTCCTGGTGAGATCAGGTCGCCCCCTCCCTCCTGTCCTTTAGAAGGATGGTAAAAACTTGGCTGTGGGACCAAGCTTTGGGACAGGGCAATAAAGCGGCAATAGGAAAGATGACCAGGCCAATTAGATTTGACGCGGATGACTAGGACGGTTTTAAATGGTGTATTTTAATATTTTGATACATGTTTTTTAATGTTTATGTATGTGTATGTGAATTTGTGTCCCGGCATTGAATATTTGCTGTATATATGCTGTGCTCCGCCCTGAGTCCCCTTCAGGGTGAGAAGGGTAGAATATAAATGTTTTAAATAAATAAATAATAAATCATAGCCAGAAATTTAATATAAAAACATTTTGGTGCTGTCAATCCACTTATGGATCTTTAAGACATAAAATTACCTCGTGCCAGACAAGATTTTCCCACTCGTCAAATCCATAATAAATAAAAGAGGAAATTCTCAGACGTTTTCAAAGGCTTTCATGGCCGGAATCACTGGGTTGCTGTGAATTTTCTGGGTTGTATGGTCATGTTCCAGAAACATTATCTCCTGACATAGATGTGGGAGAAACATCAGGAGAGAATGCTTCTGGAACATGGCCATACAGCCCGGAAAACTCACAGCAACCCAATCTCTCAGACATTATTGGAAAATGGGAATTTCTTGATGTTCTTGCTTGTTGAAAATAAGGCTCGTAAATTATCTATTAAAATACTTATACTTGCATCTCTTTGTAGTCACAGTCCTTAGAGAATTCCCTTTTTAGAGTGTGATGAAGCTCAGAACCTTACAGCATTACAGTATGTTTTGCATATTTGCTTGCACTGTAACTATCAATAAACTGGATTTCCTGTTTTGCTATCCAAAGATGTCTAGTTGCTCAGCTGAAATGTCTATAAAACAGAAAATGGTCAATTGATATTTGGTTTAAAACTAGTGCTTTAGGAGATTACTGTAGCTCAATGAAAGAGTGATCACCATTAAATCTGCTATGCAGATTCAGTCCCTGATACATCCAGTTAAAGGTTCAGAGATTACTTGGTAGGAGAGACTTCTGTTTGAAACTTGGGGAATCACTGCCAGTCAAAACAGATGTTACTAATCTAGATACCATATATACTTGAGTATAAGCTGAGTTTTTCAGCCCTTTTTTAAGGCTGAAAAAGCCCCCCTTGGTTTATACTCGAGTCAGGGTTATTTATTATTTTATTCTGTTACTATTATTTTTAGTACAATTTTTCTTTTACTCTACATGTTATTACATTTATTATTTTTCTCTATTATTATTACATTTATTCTGTTACTCTATTATTATTATTACCTTTGTTATTTTACTCTGTTCATTATGATTACATTTATTATATTACTCTATTATTATTGGAAAGATACATAACTACATTTACATTGAAGAAGGTTAGACTTCTGGTCTAATCAGAGTTGGACAGTCTTATCTTAAATTTCAGTTTTATCTAAATATTCAAAAACATTTAACCTACTGGTGCCTCAATTAATGTAATTTTATTGGTATCTATTTTTATTTTGAAATGTCCCAGTAGCTGCTTCATTTCTCACCCTTGGCTTATACTCGAGTCATACGTTTTTCCAGTTTTTTGTGATAAAATTACATGTGTTGGCTTATATTCGGGTTGGCTTATACTCGATTATATACAGTAGATTAATGGTTTAACTCAGCATAAGCAAAACACTTACTGTATCGAGTCATGTATAAGCTAAGTTGACGGCAGGTTTTAGGGCCAATATTATGGATTTTGATAGGACCTATAGATAAGTTGAGGGTCATTTCACAGAGATGGAATGCATCTTTTCCAGTCGACATCATTCCATACTCAGGCTTCCAGAAAGGTCAGAAGTAGTGTCATGGCAAAGAAAGTGGAGGGGACTGTTGCTTCTTTTAGGTTCTCCAAGGCAGACTAAGATCTTGCCTTTTTCCACTCTTCTCTGAGGAAGGGGTGGTTTCTTTTTTATAAGACACAATACATTGACCTGTGGCTCAGTCAACCCAAGTTTTTGGGTTATTTTTTTTTTACTAAAACTTGTAAACAAACACGAGTTTATAGAGTATGGATAATATATAAATATATCAAATCAATCTTTGTGGGCTAACAAATAACAATGCATTTTAAGCTGTTGATGACATACTATAATTTTTCCAGTGATGTATCTGCTCTTGTTTACAGACCAATGGCAAAGAACAGGAGGCAAAGACAACAAAATTTCTGGCCCTGGATAAATGCCTGCCTCACAGAGACTTCCTGCAGGTAAAACCTCCGACATTGGCCTTCCTCTGTTGGTGATCCGGAAGCTCAAGTTGGTACAAAATGCAGCTGCTCGGCTTCTTGCGGGAATTCCGATGAGATGCCACATAACACCAATCTTACTACAGCTGCATTGGTTACCAATTGAGCACCGGATCACTTTCAAAGTAATGGTACTCACCTTTAAGGCCTTGCATGGTCTGGGGCTGATGTACCTGAGGGACCGCCTCACCCCCTACCAACCCCAGAGATCCCTTCGTTCTGAAAACCAAGATTTGTTGGAATTCCCAGTGTCAAGACCTTGCGTCTAACAGCAACCAGACGCAGAGCCTTCACAGCAGTGGCACCATCACTCTGGAATACTCTGCCACCTGAAGTCCGTGCCTTGCTGGACTTACCAGCTTTCCGCAGGGCATGTAAGACATACCTGTTTCGACAGGCTTTTAATGTTTGATATTGCTGTTTTTAAATTGTTTTAAATTGCTTTTAAATTTTGTTAGATTTTAGCCATTCTTGTAAGCCGCTCCGAGCCCCAGGGGAGTGGCGGCATATAAGTTCAAATAAAATAAATAAATAAATAAATAAATAAATGTTTCCATTGAGTACACAGTATCACCACACATAAGACATAGTAGAGATCAGATTCAGCTGTGAATGGAAAAAAAATGGTTAGCCATCCACTTGATATGTGTTATTGTACGACAACATAGAGAACCTTTGATCTTCCGGAGAGGCTCTTCTCTCGCTCCCGCCCTCATCGCAAGTGCAACTTGTGGGGACGAGAGAGAGGGCCTTCTCTGTGGTGGCCCCCTGGCTCTGGAATTCACTCCCCAGGGATATTAGGCAAGCCCCCACCCTGGTAATCTTCAGGACGAGCCTGAAAACTTGGTTATTCCAATGTGCCTTCAATGATTGAATGTAAGACACTCCCTGACCAAACTCTGCATAAAATGACCTCAGACGCACTTTATTTTATGGTTCATGCAATTAAATCCTACCTCATCCTCGGATCCCCTCCCTGGTTTTTTACATTGTCCTCTCTCCCAGTGTTTTAAAATTTTATCCTTTAATTTGGCCCTGCTCAGTGTGATCATCTGTGTTTTACCGTTTGATTCTATGCTGCTGTGTTGTTTACTTATATTGGTTTTGCATCTTATGTAATTTATTTTGTGATTTTTTGTTTTGTTTTTGTGTTTATATTGTGTTTCACTGTATTGATGGGCATGGACTTATGTAAGCCTCCCGAGTCCCCTTGGGGGAGATGGAGGCGGGGTATAAATAAAGTTGTTATTATTATTATTAAATATCTGTAGGAGTTTCCTCAGGGATATGGCTAACGACAGGTCAGAAGTTACAGACGTGCCTTTCTTGTTTGTTGAAAGTATAACTTGGGGAATTGAGAGTGGCACATATTTTTATTCAGGAATTTTTTTTCAGTTGTATAAGCCTTCCTTCTTCAGAAATGGATGGAATAAATAATATTAGCAACCCAGAACAGGGCTGGTTTAGAGCCTCAAACTTATGAAAAGACTGGAGGTCCAGGCTGAGAGTCTTGATGATTCATCTTAGACACAATATCTGTAGTTTTTGCATCTATGTTTTGCAACTTCGTTTTTCTACAAGAAGAAGGCAATGTTGTATGTCACAAATGTAGTCCAGTTACCTTTGGGACCATGGTGGCGCAATGAGTTAAACCCTTGTGCTGCTGAACTGCTAATCTTAAGGTTGGCAGTTCAAATCTGTGGGATAGGATGAGCTCCCGCTGTTAGCCCTAGCTCCTGTCAATGTAGTAGCTTGAAAACATGCAAATGTGAGTAGATAAATAGGTACTGCTTAGGTAGGAAAAGGCAAAGAGATGCTCCAAGCAGTCTTGCCAACCACACAAACAGGAGGTGACAACACAGGTACCTCAGCTTGAAAATGGAGAATAACACCCCCCCCCCGAGCCAAAGAAGAGCACCGCTTCCAGAAGCCAGAAATGAAAAGAGAAGCCTTTCCCTGTGTTTGTGTGTCTCGTTGTATGTGATTGTAAGGCATTGAATGTCTGCCTATGACTACTGTAAATGCTGTAATCCACTCTGAGTCCCCTAGGGGAGATGGCGGAATATAAATAGTGTGTTGTTGTTGTTATTGTTATTATTATTATTATTATTAGTGATGATAGTGCTTTAAATTCACTACTATTTCTTTGATGTTAAGAGGACTCAAAGAGTTCTTTTCATCCAACATCTCCCTCTAAGTTCCATTTTTTTACAGATTGTAGAGATCCCACATGACCCAAATGCATCTAATCACCTTGAATATGATCCTGAATGGATTGCTGTTTTGAAAGCTACTAATAATCTCATCAACATATCTGCAAATTCCTGGAATATGCCTGAAAACAATGGACTTTATGAAAAGTAGGTAGAAATTATTATTTATTTGTACAAAAAAGTATTTGCTGTATCCTGAAAAATGTTGTAAACTTGAGACAGCTCTATTACAATTAAAGTGAACAACTAACAGAAAATCCAGGAGGGAGTCTCTCATCCAGTATCAGCCACTGATTTGAGGATCTGGGTTTTTGCCTGCCACATTTGAACTCTTGCTTGCTGAGGTGTTTCTGCGAGTATCTGTAGATCTTAGGAAGTTATTTCTTGATTTAAGATGTTGCCATGCTGGATGATACCTGAACAGAGGATGGGCCAGAGAGGTCAATGCCTTAGTCCTTTCACTACAGGCTGCTACTTCCCGACGGATATCTGGTGGTGCAATACCTTATAATTTCTCCAGTGGTGTTGGGTGTAGGCATCTTTTGATAGTGTCTAAACCTCAGATACTAATTGTTTTCCAAGTTCCTATGTCACATAAGCCAAATGCAAAGCCCATGGACCTAAATTGGCCTGCCAGGTCCGGATGCATGTAAACAACTGCCAAGATCAAAGCTGGGCAAAGGTATGCTTACTTTTACTTACTTAGGCAATCCCCCATTGTCTGAGTAGGACTGTCTTCCAAGATCGGTGTACTGCTGGTGGGTGACTGCACAGCCCTATTCTTTATCTGCATGTTCTCCCACAGTGAGGGTATCGGTTTCCAGGCGGAAGGTGGTCCCAGTCAAGGTTGGCTTGACTCGCTTTCCTCTTGGCATGTTTCTCTCTTTTGCCCTCCATTCATGCCTCTTCAAATTCTACAGTACTGCTGGACACAGCTGACCTCCAGCTGGAGCGCTCAAGGGCCAGGGCTTCCCAATTCTCGGCGTCTATGCCAGAGTTTTTAAGGTTGGCTTTGAGCGCATCTTTAAATCTCTTTTTCTGTCCTCTAATATTCCATTTTCCATTCTTGAGTTCAGAGTAGAGCAACTGCTTTGGGAGACAGTGACTGGGCATTTGGACAATGTGACCGGTCCAGCGGAGTTGATGGTGGAGGAGTATTGCTTCAATGCTAGTGGTCTTTGCTTCTTCTAGCACGCTGACGTTTGTCCGCCTGTCTTCCCAAGAGATTTGCAGGATTTTGCAGAGGCAATGCTGATGGAATCGTTCCAGCAGTTGCATGTGAAGTCTGTAGATAGTCCACGTCTTGCAGGCATATATCAGGGTTGGGAGGACAATGGCTTTATAAACAAGCACCTTGGTCTCCTTACGGATGTCTCGGTCCTCAAACCCTCTCTGCTTCATTCAGAAGAATGCTGCACTCGCAGAGCTCAGGCGGTGTTGTATTTCAGTGTCAATGTTGACTTTTGCAGAGACGTGGCTACCAAGGTAGTGGAAAAGGTCAACATTTTCTAATGTTATACCATTAAGCTGTATTTCTGGCATTGGAAATGGATTGGCCGGTGACTGCTGGAAGAGCACTTTGGTTTTCTCAATGTTCAATGGCAGGCCAAAAATGTTGTCATCAGCATATTGGAGTTCTATAACATGTTGTAACCTTGGTTACAACAAAAGATATGCATGCATGCTAGGATATTCTATTTCCACCCCCTCTAGTGGCTGGATGTAGTATTGCGCACAGGGACTGCTCCACAGTGACCCTTAGTGGCTGGAAGGATTTGCAGGTTTGAGCAACCTGTGGCCTGCCTAATTGGACTTGAGGTCCTATAATCTATTACTATTTTCCACGTTAATAGGAATTGGATTTACAAAATGGCCAAAAAGTTAACTACCCATCAGTTAGCTTTCTTCCAAGAGTAGGTGAAAATTAGCCCTCGAGATGCTGGACCACAACTCATGTATTCTTTATCATTAGACATGTATTTATTTATTTATTTATTAACCCTGTTTATACCGAGGACCCCCGGTGGCGCAGTGGGTTATGCCATTGAGCTGCTGAACTTGCTGACTGAAAGGTCGGTGGTTCAAATCCAGGGAGCGGGGTGAGCTCCTGCTGTTAGCCACAGCTTCTGCTAACCTAGCAGTTCGAAAACATGCAAATGTGAGTAGATCAGTAGGTACCGCTCCAGTAGGAAGGGGCTTACAAGCACAACATTGGAAACCAAATTGTGCTTCAAATAAAATCCAGTTTAATATTTAACCACATAACTCATTTGAATCACGGAGATATGGGACCCAAGAGATGAGATTATTTTCTCTATACTTCCTTTGATATAAAGGAGGTCCCACTAAAAGAAAGAAAGTTGATATAGCTGGCTCACATAATTTGCAGGCCATTAAAGAAAATAAGAATGTGTGTTCAAGACAGCTACTCCATATATTTGGGGAGAAACCCAAGAATGAATCATGGCCATAGATTACGCAGAATCCATTTCTTTTCTCTTTTTTGAAATAGACTGGCTGCAAATCATAGATAGCAGACTACAGAATTTTACTCTGATATATCCCTGTTGGGCTTGGAAGCCCAAACTAGTCATAGAATCATAGAATTGGAAGAGACCTCATGGGTCATCCAATCCAACCCCCTGCCAAGAAGCAGGAAAATCTCATTTAAAGTCCATTATTATTATTATTATTATTATTATTATTATATTATTATTATTATTATTATATTGGAATATATTAATAACAGAATATTATTAAAATATAATTACTGTCAAAAACAGCGATGATTGAATACTAGAATTGGAAGAGACCAGGGCCACCCAATCCTATTTTATCAAGCAAACACAATCTAAACCCTCCTGACAGATGGACACCAGAGTCTCCTTCTCTGCTTAAAAACATCCAGAGAAGGAGACACCGTTATTATTGTGTTGCTGAAGGCTTTCATGCCCGGAATCACTGGGTTGCTGTGAGTTTTCCAGGCTGTATGGCCATGTTCCAGTAGCATTCCCTCCTGACGTTTCACCCAGATCTATGGCAGTCTCTTTTCCAAAGAAAAGTTCAGGATCCTCAATAAAAGCACTATGCATTCACACATGCACACACAGTGAGAGTGAGATTTTGGAGGATTAATTCATCTATTTCAGTCAACACAACCTACAACTCATGAGCTTGTCACCCCTGGCCTACATGATTTAGTAGAAATCCCAAAGTCTGTTGTGCTTTTGAAATTACGTGTGGCTTCATGGAGCTGTCACACTTGTTCAGGCATGCTGAAAAAAAATATTACTGGCTAGATTCTGAGCAAAATACATTCTTGCCACTCATTGAGTATGTATTTTTTGGGGAGGGGTCTGTCTTGAAGTGGGTGGAGTGGAGGAATTACCAGGTGAGATTAAGCAAGCCCCCACCCTAGCAGCTTTTAAGAAAGTGCTTGGCTTTTCTGATATGCCTTTGGAGAGTGACCACCCACCCTTTTTGTTGGTTTCCATCTACAGTTTGTTTACACAATGCACTCTCCCACACCCCAAAAAAGCCCAAAACCCCACTGCTCCCTCGTCTCGGGCTCCTCCTTTACAAATACACTTCCTCTACTTCCCATCTCACCCAGGATTTTAATGTTTTTAACATTTTATCTTACACATCTGGCCCACCCTCTGTGGTTGTTTTTATTATGTTATTTTGCATTGTTTATTTTATTTGTTGCATTATGTATTTTGTTGTGTTTCATTTTCTTTTGTATATTATTCTGTTGTATTATTTTTGGGCTCGGCCCAGCTGTGGTGTCTTGCTGCCTGGGGGAATCCTTTGTTGGGAGATTTTTTTGTCATGTCAGGAGCGACTTGAGAAACTGCAAGTCGCTTCTGGTGTGAGAGAATTGGCCATCTGCAAGGACGTTGCCCAGGGGACGCCCGGATGATTTGATGTTTTTATCATCCTTGTGGGAGGCTTCTCTCATGTCCCCGCATGAGGAGCTGGAGTTGATAGAGGAGCTCATCCGCCTCTCCCCGGATTCGAACCTGCGACCTGTCGGTCTTCAGTCCTGCGGCACAGGGGTTTAACCCACTGCGCCACCAGGGGCTCCTTCGGGGAGATAGAGCGGCATATAAATAAAATTATTATTATTATTATTATTATTATTATTATTATTATTATTATTTGAAACACAACAAGATGAGTCCACAGCAGACACTCTGCTGGCTGTTGAATTGGATCACATGTCGGACACTTCCCAAGTGTCTAGCAGTGGTTCTCAACCTGGGGTCCCCAGATGTTTTTGGCCTACAACTCCCAGAAATCCCAGCCAGTTTACTAGCTGTTAGGATTTCTGGGAGGTGAAGGCCAACACATCTGGGGACTCACAGCTTGAGAACCACTGCTCTAAAGCAAGATGAATGATGCATGATCTAGATGTTGCTGAGATCCCAGTAAGGTGGCCTTCTGCAGCTGGTAATTTTGTCAGAGCCAATTGTGTTTAAGTGCAGGTCAAGGTCTTTAGGCACTACACCCAGTGTGCCGATCACCACTGGGACCACCTTTACTGGTTTGTGCCAGAGTCTTTCCAATTCAGTCTTCAAATCCTCATATCATGTCAGCTTTTCCAGTTGTTTCTCTGCAATCCTGCTGTCACCTGGGATTGCGACATCGACAATCCATACTTTGGTTTTTAACATGATTGTGAGGTCAGGAGTATTGTGCTCCAAAACTCTGTCTGTCTGAATTCGGATCATCCTTGTGATCCCACCAGTTCTTTGTCGCACGCAGATGGTATTTGTGGCACAAGTTCCAATGAATCATCTGAGCAATGGTGTTATGCCTCTGCTTGTAGTCTGTCTGTGTGATCTTGCAGCAGCTGAGGATGTGATCTATTGTTTCATCTGCTTCCTTGCAGATTATTATTATTATTATTATTATTATTATTATTATTATGTCATCTAACCTCCCTGTGTTTGGGTTGTTGTGAGTTTTCAAGGCTGTTTGGCCATGTTCCAGAAGCATTATCTCCTGACATTTCGCCTGCATCTGTGTTTAATGTAGGTGGGACTACAGTGTTTCAGAAGAAGACATCAGGGGCGTTTTGGAAGAAGCAAACCATGATCTTCAGGTTCCAGATAATTTCAGTGCTATCGCTGCTTGTTGTGATGCAAACACATCCCAGCAACACATAAAACCAGTTCATCGAATCAATCCCCAGACCACAGAATTCTGTGCACGGTTTGGACTTACAGACATTAATGCCAAAATCCAGCAGCTGAAAGAAGATATCTTGGGACACAGAGATGATAGTGAGGAGGAAGAAGAAGAGGCCATAGACAGCACTGGGTCTACAGAAGAGCCTAGTGACTGTAGTGCAAATACTTCTGCTTTGTCATCATCTGTCAACCCTGATGAAATAATATTAGATGAAGATAGTGCTGAGGATGAAGATCCAGAGACCTCATTGGACCCAACGTCTGAGAAGTCTTCTAGCATCTCTGCAACATTTTCTGATGTCAGGATCCTCCCAGATTCAATGACAGTGTCACCAAGTGATACTGTTGACCCTCTGGGCGATGAATTGGAGACATCAAATGAAAAGAAACACCCAGAAGAGCAAAGTCCTGGTGAGAACTTACTGAAAAGGATAAGTGGTGAAAAGAAAGAAGAAAACAGTGGCCCAAAGAGAATTAAAAGGCGAAATCAAGCTATCTATGCTTCCAAAGATGAAGATGAAGTAGAATGAGTAATCTCTTCATTGACTGAGGGTAATCTTTTACTGCGATTTCTATCTACAATAGATAGGATGGTTGGGGTTGATTTATTTTGCAGTGCTGTATAGCATTGATATTTTAATTAAAAACAATAAACTATTATTTTTGAAGTCAGTCAGATTTGACATGGGGCACAAATATAAATGGGAAGAAAACCCTGTTAAAGATTTTGTAAGTGAAAAGCAAGCATGGAGCCTTTTGCATTTTTACATTGTCTTCCCAAACAAATATAGGATTTCTAAAGATATTTTAGTAAAAGATAGGAAAATGTTCTGGTTTCTTTGTTGCATTTGATGGATCATGTTCAGCATAATAATACCACATTGACAGTTTGCTTTTTCTTTCTCCCACTCCTTGGCTATGAATTGTTACATCTGAATCAGAGTGAAGAGAAAGGGGGCCAGGGGACGGTTCCATCTTGTCTCCTGCATATGTCATCAGTTGGGGACCCCTCCCCCAAGCACCAACTGCTTCTCTGGGCCGGAGTGAAGAGAGAGGGGGCCAGGGGACGGTTCCATCTTGTCTCCTGCATATGTCATCAGTTAGGGACCCCCCCTCCCCAGCACCAACTGCTTCTCTGGGCCGGAGTGAAGAGAGAGGGCGCCAGGGGACAGTTCCATATTGTCTCCTGCATATATCATCAGTTGGGGACCCCTCCCCCCAGCACCAACCACTTCTCTGGGCCAGAGTGAAAAGAGAGGGGGCCAGGGGACAGTTCCATCTTGTCTCCTGCATATGTCATCAGTCGGGGACCCCTCCCCCCAGCACCAACCGCTTCTCTGGGCCAGAGTGAAAAGAGAGGGGGCCAGGGGACGGTTCCATCTTGTCTCCTGCATATGTCATCAGTTGGGGACCCCTCCCCCTAGCACCAACTGCTTCTCTGGGCCAGAGTGAAAAGAGAGGGCGCCAGGGGACAGTTCCATCTTGTCTCCTGCATATGTCATCAGTCGGGGACCCCTCCCCCCAACACCAACCGCTTCTCTGGGCCAGAGTGAAAAGAGAGGGGGCCAGGGGACAGTTCCATCTTGTCTCCTGCATATGTAATCAGTTGGGGACCCCTCCCCCCAGCACCAACTTCTGTTCTGGGCCAGAGTGAAAAGAGGGGGCCAGGGGACAGTTTCGCCTTGTCTCCTGTGCTATGCTAATAATATAATATAATATAATACAATATAAATATAATATATTGTATATTCATATAATATTTATATTATTATAATGTATTACAATTTAATACTATTAATAATATATTATAATTATATATTTTATATTACAAGTAATATTACTAATAATATTACAATATAATGGTATAGTACAATATAGTAATATATAATACTGATATTGTAATATGCTAATAATATATTGTATGTGTATATATATCTTGTAAGCCGCTCTGAGTTCCCTTCGGGGTGAGAACGGCGGCATATAAATTTCATAAATAAATAAATGAATAAATAATCATGCATTCAATGCGCTTAATACAGATTTTCTTGGTTTCTTCCCAATAGTAAGAGGTGTTTTGTATAGGGATTAAGCAATATAGTACCCACCAGATATTTTGTACTGCTAATCTCATCAATGGGCCCCTGGTGGTGCAGCAGGTTAAACCGCTGAACTTGCTGAATGAAAAGTTGGCAGTTCGCATTTGGGGAGCGGGGTGAGCTCCTGCTTTTAGGCCCAGCTTCTGTCAACCTAGCAGTTTGAAAACATGCAAATGTGAGTAGATCAATAGGTACTGCTTCTGCAGGAAGATAACGGTGTTCCATGCAGTCATGCTGGCCACATGACCTTAGAGGTGTCTAAGGATAATGCCGGCTCTTTGGCTTAGAAATTGAGATGAACACCACCTCCCAGAGTCAGACATGACTATACTGGATGCCAGGGGAAACCTTTACCTTAATCTAGTCAGTGGTTAGGGCTAATGAAATTGCATTAAAAGTTATCTGAAGAGAACTTGCCTACCTCCCCTAGTTTATGGCAAGTCAGTCTAATGAACTGCCTTAGAAAATTCATGACATTTGGACAGAGATGAAATATTCAAAATAATACTTTCCATGCAACATTGAAAAGCTAAAACTATCACATGATTAGCCTGTTGGAAAGGAAATTCTAATACCATTAAAGCATTGGTCTATATGTGTAAAAATTGAATTATTAAGGAAAGGGAAAAAAAAGAAACACAGAACAAAATTAACTGCTTGAGTATGGTATGCACCACCGTGGAGCTAATTCTTTCATGTGAGTAGATCAATAGGTACCGCTCTGGCAGGAAGGTAATGGTGCACCATGCAGTCATGTTGGACACTTGACCTTGGAGGTGTCTATGGACAACGCTGGCTCTTCGGCTTAGAAATGGAGATGAGCACCATCCCCCAGAGTCGGACACGACTGGACTTAATGTCAGGGGAAAACCTTTACATTTACCTAATTCTTTCATACTGATCTGATTCAAATGTCATGCTAAGTACCATAGAGGCAGGAACTCTCAGGGTTTACTTAGTCCTAGTTTGTCATGTCATTTGAACTTGCCATGAAGTAACTAGTGATAACATAAGCTTTTCTTTTTTTATTTTGTTCAGACCAAATGATGAGTTGTTGGTCTATTTAAATAAACTGCAATATTTGTGTACAACAACGCAACCAGAAAGAGTGCATGACCATTTTATGCAGTGGTTCCCAACGTTTATTTGACCAGGGACCACTCTGACCAGGGACCACTCTGACCAGGGACCACTCTCCAACATTAGTACCAAAAGGGTTACAAATCAGTTTTTGGTCAACTTTAGATTTGGTTTGGTTATTTGCGGTGCTGATTCAGAAAATTGCATTGGATAGACCAGATTGGCTCTAGTTTCTGCTACAGAACATATGCCATCCAGTAGTCACCATTTGCTCGCCCACAAAAAACCATATTTAATAAGTTTCTTGGCACTATAAGAGGGTTTCAAGAGACCAGTCACTCTTGTTGCAATGGTGTAGTAACAGTGAGGCCACAGGACCTTATTTTAGTACTTGCAGACCGTGGACCACAGATTGGGAACCACTGATTTAATAAAATAGGATGAAACAAATCCAAGTATGAAATATTTCTACTTTAAAATTCAGCTTCTGTCATACAAGTGAGATGATTTTTGTCAGGCTTATAACCAGAAGGAAACACTTAACTGAACCAGTGCATGTGTTCTTTTACACTCAGATAATGAGCAACATGACTTGATTTAACTCTCCTTAATATTAATATGTGAGTTCAACAACTTGGTCTAGTGAGCTTCCAGCCTCAGCCATAAGTGTACTGCAAATAAAGGAAGTAAAAGAGAAACATGTGAGGCTTTGCTCAGAAGGTTTTCTTGGCAAGATTTCTTCAGAGGGGGTTTGCCTTCATCTGAGGCTAAGAGACTGGAACTTGCCCAAGGCCACCAAGTGGTTTTCCACCCAAAAACTCCTGCAGATCTCTTGGGAAGACAGGCAGACAAATGTCAGTGTGCTGGAAGAAGCAAAGATCACCAGCACTGAAGCAATGCTCCTACGCCATCAACTCCGCTAGACTGGCCACGTTGTCCAAATGCCCCATCACCGTCTCCCAAAGCAGCTACTATACTCCCAACTTAGGAACGGAATATGGAATGTTGGTGGACCGGAAAAGAGATTTAAAGATGGGCTTAAAGCTACACTTAAAAACTGTGACATAGACACAGAGAACTAGGAAGCCCTGACCCTTGAGTGCTCTAACTGAAGGTGACCAGCAATGCTGTGGAAGTCGAAGAGGCATGGAGGGTAAAAGGGAGATATGTGTCAAGAGGAAGAAGGTGCATCAAGCCAACCCTGACCAGGACTGTCTTCCACCTGGAAACTGATGTCCTCACTGTGGAAGAACATGCGGATCAAGAATAGGTCTCTACAGCCACCTACGTATCCACTGCCAAGACACTACACTTGCAGGTCCATCATCCTTGGACAACGAAGGATCTTCTGAGTAAGTAAGTAAGTACAGTGCTCAAACAACTACAGTATACCTCACTGGCTTGATAGGTGGTGTGATGTACAGGGTGAGGCAGCATAACTTCCTTTTTTAAAATGCGCACCATTTGGTCGGTTGAAGACATAGCGGAGTGCTAGTGGTCTCGTTCGAGAGGCGGGAGTATAAAGTTTTGTCCTGACACAGTTCAGTCGCCATCATGCGTTGGAACATGAGCTTTTGCCGTTGAGGCCTACTTTTCGAGCGGATTTGGAGTGGCCGGCCCGCTCTCCAGATTTGGCCCCTTGTGATTTTTTTTCTATGAAATCCCGTGTTTCTGTGAACCGTCCAAGGACCCTACAAGATTTGAAGACCAACATCCAGGAAGAAATTGCCAACCTAACGCCTGCTATGCTGGCAAGAGTCATGACAAATGCCAGAAATCAGTTTACTCAGTGTATGGAGAATGGGGGACATCACCTACCTAATTTGATCTTCAAAACTACGTAAAACCTTTAGGTATGTGCCTACATTATAAAAAAACTTCTGATTCATACCATGAGTTTTATTAAGTTTTGAAAAAAGGAAGTTATGCTGCCTCACCCTGTATTTGCAAGAATATCATGGGGGAAGTTGTTGAAATTAAGATATACTACATCCACAGCATTCCTTTCATCTTCCTAGCTTGTAACTTTATAAAAAAGAGATACAATTAGTCTGGCATGCATTGTTTTTGAGAAAGCCGTGTTGGCTTTTGGTGAACGCGGCATTTGTTTTTCAAAAGGAATGTCTTGTTCAGTTTAATGATCTGATCTTCAGTCTTTCCTGGTATTGATGCCAGGCTGACTGCACAGTAATTATTTGGAGTCTCGTCCAAAATTCACATAGGTTCAAAAATCGTTTATGTAAAATATTCTTCTGTGAAAGGCAAAAACAACCACTGGGGATGGAGTGAACTTAGCAGGGTATGGGATGCTGATTGATGAAAGCTGAAACAGCAGTGTTTCATATTGTAACATTTTGTTGCAGAGCCCACTTGGTTCCCAAATATTCATAAATGAGACAGATTAGATCTCCGCCCTGTAGAATTATCAAATTCTACAGGGAAGTATGAGAGGAAGTCATAGGGAGGAGGGAGCAGGACGCAATGGAACAAGGGCTTCAAACTACAGAAAAGAAGATTCCACCTGAACATTAGGAAGAACTTCCTAACCATGAGAGCTGTTCAGCAGTGGAACTCTCTGCCCCAGAGTGTGATGGAGGCTCCTTCTTTGGAGGCTTTAAAGCAGAGGCTGGATGGCCATCTGTGGGGGTGCTT